GATAATAAAGCCATCCAAAAAAATTGGAAATGAAAAAATCATTCTAAGGCCTAGATCTAAGCATCTCACCAAAATGAACGACCTATGTTAATTGGGCTAAAAAAATACTTTCTAGATTATGTTTTCAATTTTTTTTTTTTTCTGTGATTGTTTATTACAATGAAAAGAGTGTATATTTCAAAATTTGGATCAAACAAATTGGCATAAGATGGTTTTTAAAGGTTATTGCCTCATATTACTATACAACGGTTGTATGAAATCATTTCCTTTTATATATATATATATATATGGGATTTTTGAGGATTAATAACTCCTAAAAAACAACAAGTTCAAGTTAGAATAACTTGTGAACCTCATTTTTTCTTTTTTTGCCCCTATACTATATGAGCACCAAAACCTATTGAAGGGTATTTGTGACTTTTACTTCAAATTTTAAAAAATCGTACATCAATAAAATTTGAATTTCAAAATTTAAACCTCCTCTCATGCTTTCTCTCACACGCCTTTCTATTTTATCTCTCCTTGCCGTCCCCCATCCTTTATCTCTCGATCTCTCGCCTTGCCCTACCCAATCCTCTCTCTCTTGATCAGGAAAAATGCCAGGTAAAAATGGAAGTGTTCTTCTGCATATGTTTTTTTTTACAGATAGACATCTTAGTTTTTACCTCGAGAAAACCCTAATTTTCACTTTCATGTGATCCAACTATGGAGATCTCTGATCATACGATATATGAATGCCACACTCAATGCCATTTCTTTTCTTTTCTTTTTGTTTTATTTTTGGGATTTTTTTTCTAGAATTTACTCTGTTGATTCTTGGGATTTTTTGTTACTCTTCGATCACACCAGGTAGAATTTATTTTTTGGGATTTTTTGTGATTCAGTCACAATAACTGAACATCTGGTATTTTTAGTTATCAAAGATTGAAAAACACTCACTCTCTTTAAAAATTACTTTTGGATCTCACCAAGAATGAGAGAGGGCACACAATTTTTAGCTTGCTCCATCTCTCTCAATCAAAAGCTCTTAGTGTGGTACTTGTGCATTTGTTTCTTGGATACGATTGATTTAATTTTTAGAGAGATGTACCTTTTCTAAAATTGTATGACCTCTCTGGTGAGATCCAAAAGTAGTTTTTAGAGAGAGTAAGTTTTCTTCAGGCTTTGGTAACCATATATACCACAGTTTTGATTCCAGTTTTTCTTTGATTCCAAATGTTCTTCAGATTAAGTGTTCTTCAGAGTCCAAATGTTTAAAAATATGCCCCAGCCATTTTTCATATTTTGATTTCGGTTTTTCTTTGATTCTGTAATTCTTTTCATACTTAAAGGATTAAATTTTGGATCAAGTGAATGATTAATTGTTATTTTTAATATAATAATTATCTAATGATAGGAAAGGCTGGAGTATTGGTTTTGTTTATTTGATGATTTCTTGTTCTTTTCATAGCTAAAGGATTAAATTCTATTGAGTAATGGTTTTATTTGTTTGATCAATTCTCTGCCTTGCTAGACTTGAATAATTAGGATCAAGAATTGGGAGATTCACAGCTTACTCTGTGTATTTTGAATGGGAACTGTATGGGGCAGTGAAAGTAGAGCCTCTGGTTTGAACTGTGGTGGTGAAGATATTTGGTTTCAAAGCCATAAAGTAGAAGGCATGAGAGCTTCTCGCTCATGTATTTTAAAGGCCAAAAAATATTCTTGATAGAGACAGAGAGAAATGAAACAATGTTGTAATCATATAATTCGAATTTGAATTTTATGCAAGCAATGCTAATGGAGATCTCACTCACTCACTCTCTCTCTTTCTCTCTCTCTCTTAAATTTAAACAATT